TTATGAAAGATCACAGTGAATTGTTTTCTATTTTTCAAAAATTTTATGCTGAAATACGTACCCAATTTGGTGTTCATATTAAAATTCTTCGCTCCGATAATGCCAAAGAGTACACCTCAATACCATTTCAGCAATACTTAGAGCACCATGGGATAATTCATCAAACTTCTTGTGCCTACACCCCACAACCCCACAACAGAACGGTGTAGCTGAACGGAAAAATCGACATCTCCTTGAAACTGATCGGTCTTTGATGCTTAATATGAATGTCCCAAAGCACTTTTGGAATGATGCTGTCCTCACATCTTGTTTTCTCATCAATCGAATGCCCATGTCCATCATTGGAAGTCAATCCCCCTTCTCGGTGTTGTTTCCCACCTTATCTTCGTTTCCTCTCACCTCGAGAGTCTTTGGATGTGTTTGTTTTATTCAAAACTTGGGGCCTGGTTTAGACAAGTTAGATGCACGAGCTACTAAGTGTATCTTCCTTGACTACTCAAGGACTTAGAATGGGTATAAGTGCTATAACCCTAACTTCTATAAGTCATTTGTGTGCTCCGATGTCACCTTCTTTGAATCAGTTCCTTTTTTCTCGGATACTATGGTTTCTTCTCCTTCCTCCGTAGTTCCTCTTTCTGTCCCTGTTGCGGATCCCCTTCCCGTGGTTCCCATTCCAGTTGCAGATTCACCTCCCGTGCCAGTTACTACTGAGAGGCCACCAATCAAACATGTGTATACTTACAGAAGAGCACCGACCCCTCCTCCAATTCAGCCATCGTCGACAGATCCTGTCATTGCTTCTTCTCCCTTAGACCTTGATCTTCCTATTGCCCTGTGGAAAGGTAAACACACTTGTACTTCTCATTCTATTTCACACTATGTTTCAGCTGCTCACCTTTCTGCTTCTCATCGCAACTTTATATCATTGTTATCATCTGTTTCCATTCCCAAGACTATTCAGGAAGCCCTTACCTCCCAGGGTGGCGGCAAGCCATGGAAGAGGAACTCTCTGCTTAACAACACAATCACACTTGTGAACTTACTGCTCTTCCTCCTAGTAAGCATGCTGTTGGGTGTAAGTGGGTCTACATAGTGAAGTATCTTCCAGATGGCAATGTGGAGCGATTGAAAGCCAGGTTAGTAGCCAAGGGCTATTCTTAGCTGTATGGTGTGGACTATCAGTGAAGTAGTGAAAGAATTTGGGATGAAACAGTGTCAGGTAGACCATTCTGTGTTCARCCATGAYTCAAAAKATGGGAAAATCTTGCTAGTGGTGTATGTGGATGATATTGTCATAACTGGGAGTGACAGTAACGGGATTGACAGGCTGAAGAAATTCCTAGAGGACCACTTCAATACGAAAGATTTGGGTAAGCTGATATACTTCCTGGGAATAGAAGTTGCAAGGTCAAGGCATGGAATTAACTTATGTCAAAGAAAATATGTTTTTGACCTACTTGAAGAAACATGACTGTTAGGTGCTAAACCGGCAGAGACTCCTATGGAACTTAATGTCAAGTTGAGTGTTGATGTAGGTGAAGAGTTTGGTGATCCTGGAAGATACAGGAGGTTGGTGGAAAAGTTGAATTATCTGACTATTACCCAACCAGATATATCATTTGCTGTGAGTATGGTGAGTCGGTTTATGCAACATCCTCGGATTTCTCATTGGGAAGTAGTTCTAAGGATTGTTAGGTACCTGAAGGGTGCTCCATGTCGTGGTTTGTTATACCAAAGTGGAGGGACTCTTGAAATAGTAGGGTATGCAGATGCTGATTGGGTTGGTTCTATATCAGACAGGAGATCATCTACAGGGTATTATACCTTCCTTGGTGGCAATCTTGTAACTTGGAAGAGCAAGAAACAAACAATGGTGGCAAGGAGTAGTGCAGAAGCTGAGTACAGAGCTATGGCTCATACCA